TCCAGGGCACAGGCTCCGCGCGTACACGCTGACAGATAGCAGCTGTACAGCAATGTAAACATGAAACATCAAAATGACTCCTGGAAAAGTACACCAGCCGTGTCTCGGCCGATGAATTCGGCCCCTGTAGAGTGACACTCTGAAATTACCGGAATGTGGACTCCTATCATCAATGTATCGGGATACGTGTTTCATTTCAGTGCAATGTAAAGTCGCACACGACATCTGCACTGATTTTTCTTTAAGTATTACATGCATTAACATTTGAAAACAGTATCTATATAGACTGTCACATTTTGTGTGTAGACATTTTGATATTGTGGTCACGTGATGATGCCGACTTTAAGCAAACTGCATGCGTGGTTATTAATTGAAACATTTGTGGTTTAACAGTATTTTAAAACTATACATTACGAGAAGAATCACATGAGAAAGATGTTTGGGTGACGGTGTGTATATGTTGACAGCTGCTAGGCATGATAATATCACAGCTGACGTGGTCTGTATTCAAGAAGTTCCTAATGTTCAACAAACTGCAGCATTAGATTAAAAATACCTGCTGGAATATTTATTTTCTATAATGATATTCCGCGTTAGCTGCATAATTTTGGTATGCACACATGCCATAAGAAGGCATTTGCCTCATTGTCACGCGCCTGTATGTCCTTCGTACCGTTTGATATAGGAAAGTTACTGTCAATAGAAGATTCTCGCTACGTGTACGGCCTTGGCGGGAATTATTTCACTTTGGACGTTCAGTCGTAAAATCCCAGCTGAATGGCCGGGGCTTTTAAGTCAATTGTGTCAGGAAAGCTGCACCGATTCGATTCGGTTTTGTTGGTTGTCGTTTAGGCAGGGACTTGTCATAGACCTGAGTGATACAAGGACATCGTAGTGACAAGAAACCACCAAACGGTCTCAATTATGCCGGGCTGTAAATGCATGCTCGGGCCACAATACCTGTCTTACCTAACAATGGCATTGTGTTCTAATAACCTGGTCGCTGTGATATATTTTATATAACGTGATGTATTCTTTATTAGAACAAAAACTAATGAAGTTGATTTCGATTTGTACAGTTTATTTTTTTAAATAGCTACTAAAGAGATCGCTTTAAGAAATCCTCGATAGCGTTTTTTATTGTCAAAATCGATAGTCGAAAAACCACCAAAACACGTATTTTATTGTACAAAATCCGTCCAAAACAAAACATAAAATAAATAAAAATACACGCAAAACCCACCCCACCTCCACCCCTAAAAAAGAAGGAGCAAAAAAAATTTTTCGATTCATTTTTTCTTCTTCAGATTTTAGAATATGAATAATGCATATGGTGGCTCGAATATAGTGAAACTGTATACTATACCACTACAAGTCATGACACTGATGGCCAACATCTTACGCCAAATTGGTCACTACGATGGCTCCGTATTATGACAAGCCTCTTAGATTATTTTGACATTGAAGGCAATTTTTGAGCAGGTCAGTTCTGTGTCAGTGTCATTTCACCAAAGGCATTATCATTTCTATACAGAGCTTTTGTTTGCCTTTTACAGTAGCATGGATAGTTCGTGTTGGTACTTGATGCAGGCGTGTGTACAACACAATCGTGATGACTTCTTTTTTATTTTCAACAGATCTTTCTGGAGTTGAGGAAATATTAAATGTGGAACGAAAGGTGGTCTGCAACTGCGTGTTTTGTGTTAACTAAACAGGTCTATGGCTATAAATGATTTATGCAATTGTTAACTGGAAAGATCAAGACACACCCTTGTTAAATTGCTATGCATCTTCACAATGCCCCCCCCCCCGAAAAAAAATATATAAATCGAATACCAATTAATTAGCCGTGGACAACGAACACCCACGATAGTGATTTTATGACCTTAACCTGCAGTAATAGAGATCTGATGTTCGATTCCTTTAAAAAAAAAAATAACACAACAATCATTGCATAGTAAGTCAATGTTCTTTCTTTTGTTTTAGTCTACATCGAGTATGTTTCAATTGGGTCAATCCACCTGCGACTTAACTTGACTCAACACAAAATATAATGGTTTGTAAAGGGGGGGGGGGCTTCATGTGATCGTTAGTTTACGTCTCTATAGCCAATATTTTCTTAACGACGGCAAGTCCATAAGGGCAATAGATTGTCTGCCTGACCTCCGACGCGGATTAAATTGATCTGGGATTACCCAACAAAATCAAGCATCCATAAAAGACGCGGGAAAAACCAACATATCGCATCATTAGCTTCCAAGAATTCGCAGAATATGCTCGCCCAATGCTTTTTTTGCTTTTATACATTTATAAGGTTTAAGATTGACTTTTTAAACGAGACTGTTTGCAAGAATCAGTGTATGGTTAACTGAGCCGTTCAAAAAGGGTGTGAATACGGACAGGTTACGTGTTATGTCATCACACCGAGTATGGCTTCGGGATTGTAGCTAGCTTAAACCATAGCAAGCAATTTATTAGTGTTCAAGATCCGCGATGAGCTAAATTACGAGGGACGACTAGTCTGGAATTAACAAGACTTAACTTTACGAAATGTGTGATTGGCAGAACATTGTGCGAATAAATTCCTAGTTCTAATGATGAGGCTCAAACTGACTTGGTGTTCATCACGTAATGAAAAAAAATAGTGCAAACGCTAAAGTCAAGTCAATTTTCTGGAGTTCTCAATCGATGTTACAGTTTCGAGAATTTTGTTTCTTTAAATGTAGGCACTATCTCCGTGTACACACATGATTACCTTTTATATCAGTTGATTTATAAACTTTCCATATTAAATATCGAATTCATTTAGCTTCTCTGTTGCTTGTGCAATAACCATGATACTAAGTGCATTTGTATAAAAAGATGTAGACAATATTGCATTCGTATATTATAATATACACAATGATGTTATAAGCTGTTCAAACGGAGCTTCCGGAATAGACCTTATGCGTTAGGGCGGAGTCAGAGGACAGTGGTATTGTATTGCTATGATAGGCATGAGTAAACCCTTTGTGTATTCATTGTTACGAAATTAACATAACAAAGAACATTCTCTGAAACACCTGCAACGCATGAGGTATGTATGTTGTTCACATCGCGTGGTATGTACATGTACATTTTAAAAATCCCAAAGGGCTGTTTGGGGGTCAAGTACCAAATACCACAGAATACTACATGTGTTGTGCACACTTGTATGGGAAAAAAAAATCATACTACAGGTTACTCCTCAGTAGTATTTTGTAGCATTGGGGGCGGTTAAGAATAAGGATGGTTTTACCGCAAAGTAACGTGTTATACTGGGCAGCTCTATCATGGTATACGTGTATTATTTTTTTGGCAGTCTTTCATCGTCACCGCACGGTTTGTAGCGTGTCGTCGCGTTGTTTCTGCTTCAGTCCATTGATAGTTCTTGACAGATTTCCTGAAATCCTGCGGGCCACTTTGACTTAATTGAAACGCCCTTTGCACGGCAGGTCAGGGGCAGAAAACGCCGTCAAAAAAATCCGTGAAGAAGACTCGCCTCTGGATGTAGGCCTACTCCGATTTGCAAGAAAAACAGTTGTCCGCCCAACCAGTGAATTCGTCGTGGTCACGCTGTGCAGATTTGACAGTTTATCGGGCTTAACGTTTAAAATGACTAAATGTGGCGTTTTCGTACCGTTGGTAGACGTAATTTGGTTCGATTTGATTACATTTTATAGCGCACCCATTTACTCGGAGTAATTTGATTGCGGAGTACATCAGAGTGAATTAAATTCCCAATCCCATCCCAAGGTGTGCAAGTATTAAGTGCATGTCTTGAGGGATGATGGTCACGTGATCGCCAGGGGTTTCTCCTTCGTCAGAGGAAAGTGTTTCATGTGATGCGTGTTTTCGAAATCCCGGTTGCGTCTCCGGTTTTTAGCGTCTCCGTCACTTACAAGCTTTTATTGTCAAAACTCATGAAAAGATTGTTCTCATTTTATATGAGTTGACAATCATGAAGCAGACGGTTGGTCATTGAGACTGAGTCTTCAAGGCAGGGGCCTATGCCGTAAAAACTCCCTGGTCAAATGTGACCCGGATGATCCTGGTTCTACTTGGCCTGACACCTTTCAGGGTCAACACTTTGGGGTCAGAAGGATACTTCTCCAGGTCAAAATGACCTGACAATTGAGTCAGGGAAGTATCATTTTGACCCGGAGAAGTGTCAGTTTTGAAAAAGAACCCGAATTCTGGATCAACTGACCATTGAAGTTTTAGAGTGTAGACGTCCTGAAGCCGGAGCCGGAGACGAAGCCGAGATTTTAACACGTCAAGAAAAAAAAACCCACACGAATGCCTTCCTAATCATGACAATCTTAAATTATCGCTGGTGGTAATTTGTACGTTGAAACCCTGTCCTTCATTCAAATCAATCATTTTAATGGATGGAAAAGGTCAGATGATTTCGATAAAGTCAGCGACGTGCCAGCAATCTTGGAGTCAATATACCGCCAGAATACTTCCAGATGAGCAATCTAATAAAAGTGCAAGGTTCAAGTCTGCGTTTCTCGCAGGGTTTAGGCAAATACATTTAATCCTTAATCCTGTACCGCTGGATGTTAAGTAGAATCCTGGATTTGATAAGATAGCAGGAAACAAGACACTTCAATATGTCGGGTTTAAGTTGCATTAAGCCTCACGACATTAAGTAGGTCCTATCTAATGTATTGCAATAACAGCAGTTTCTGACAGTTGCGTCTTGTACATCTCCAAAACACTTCAAGTAAGACCGACTGCAATTCATTTGAAGTCAATTTGTTAAAGTCAATCCGGATGCTTTCGAGTTCACTTCCGTAGGTTGTGATGTGTCTGCGGGTCCGCTTATGATTAGGGAAAACAGCGAGGATGTTTTTTTGGTTAGAAAATCTCCAAAGTAATTCAATCCTCGAAATTGAAAATCAGCAAACGAAGGATTTTATGAAATGTTTTGAAAAGATGTTGAAACTGATCGAACAAAACAAGAAGAAAATACAATATCTTGTTATCGAGAGGCATATATACAATTTTAATAGCAAATGAGAACTTTCTTCCATCACTCAACATCCCCAGTCTTTCCTAGACAAATATTTATACAGTGCATGATTACATTCAACCTCAGTACTTTTGTTTTAAAATAATCTTAACAACACTTTCCAACTTCAAATTGGGCCCTAATAGGCCTACATCAATATTATCGGTTAACATCGGTACAATCTCTGGACGTGGTCGGTTTACATTAATTAGATGTCTTCAGAATATGGACCTTAATTGCTGCAATCTTCAACAGAAAGGTAATGAAAATACACCTGTCAGTTCGAAACCTCAAATGTTGCAGATCAAGTTTTGTCTTTTATAGACAAGTGTAGCCCAAACCTTAGGTGATAAGATACCGGATTTGTATTTGTTACTGCTGTTTATGCGCAGGCAACAGTCAAGCGAGAACTCGAGTAGAAGACGAGTCCTGAATTTGGGTTACAAACTCCAAATGTGTTGATTTTAATCTTTGACTGAAGTGAAAATGGTCTGCTGGATATCAAATTGGAGCCTCTTCATTTTCTCGTTTTCAAAACACGCTGTCCATCTAGCGCACCGCATCCTTTTATTCTCGCAATGTACACATTCACGCAGTCAACTTTTGATTGAACGTGTAACTGAATTCCAGCTTCCCCTTGGGTGTATTTTTCTTTTGTGCGAATTGTGGAAGATGAGGTATGGCGCATTCCTTCCGATCCGTGTCTGTCCTCGGTAAGCTGACGTCAATATAAACCCCTACATGCCATTCACAATGGACCATAATGATTTGCTAAACGAAGAAGGCCCGTGTTTTCCTGTATTCGATCATTCGGATTATTATAATAACAAAGGTATAATTCAATTTGGTAATAGATTTCCAGAAAGAGCGGGCAAGCTGCTCCAAGCCACGCACAGGGTTGTTTCCGAATATTTCTTGCGTCATTACACAACAGCTCGTATCGACCCTCCTTTGTGCGATCTACCGCCACTATTATGCACAATACGCATGACTATATTCATTTCACGTCCATTTCTCACTCTATCCTGTCACACATTCCCACCTTTTTTCTTTTTAACCTTATCCTCCACCTGTTCTTACAAGTCACTCATTTTTTTCCTTCTCTCAAAACACATGAATTTTGTACACGACAGTCGCCTATCACAAGGCCCTAAGGAAATCTAAGAAATATTCAAGTAGAAAGATAGTTATCGACGTTATAGCTTGAAATGGGACAGATAAAAATTAAAAAAAAACAAGATACAAGGAAAGCGTTCCATAGTCAGGCAGCGCGTGGGATGAAAGTGGATGAATACTTCCTAGAATTTGCTAGAAATTGTTTGGTTTTTCTTGTGTTTTTTTCACTCTATCCCATCGCCTCAGTGTTTCATTTTCTCGATAACCTCTTCATCACATTTCCTAAATACATTTATTTTCCATTCACTCCCTTTGTTCTGTCCCATTCCTGTCTCTCTAACAATTCCATATACTCTTGTATACTCTCTTTAACTCGTTGACGTGTTCCTACTTTGAATTTTACACTATTAATATTTCCTTGTCACCATTTCTCTCTCCTCTTACAGTAAACATCTCTCCGCTTTCATCTTCACGCCATGTCTGTTATCAAATCTCCCTTCACTATCCTCCACTATACACTCGTTCCCTTAAAATTCTTGCATCCGGTTTTTTTCACTGTCCCTCGTTTTTTCCTTTTTCATTTTGTTCTCTTCGTCATCCGTGGTGCTAAAGTTATGTCGATTGCTATCATATAACTGACATTTTAAAGTTTTGAAGTCGGTTGCTGCGGTGGAGCCTTACAAATGCACCATTCATGATGTTTTAGTTTTCAACTCACCCTCATAATTTCTTCCTTCTCATCTTATGTAATCAATCCACATCATTCCACTATCAATGTCTTTTTTTTTAGATTTCTCTATTACACTTCAATTGTTCAATGCTCTTTTATCTATTCCTGCCCTCTCTGATGTCTTTCTCAATGATTTACAAGCTTTTGATTGGTGTCTAAAAATAGAGGAAAACTTGAAATGTAACACTGAAGTCTCATTCCCCTGATAATGTGCATAAACACGTAACCATTCGGTAAAATCATTTATGAATTCATCATGCATGTCATTCGTCGTCATATCGAGAAACATTTTAAACAAACCTCCTAATACAGACATTGGTATTGGCGCATTTACAAGAATAAAGTCACCCTGATTCAAATTCATTTCAGAAAAACGGATTCACAAAAAGGAATAAAAACAATGAACAGCACATTGGAATACAATTCCTTATAGATTTGTTTAGAAGCTGTTATTGTTCTGTGTTCATGATCCCAAATCTTAATGTTTAATTAATGCTTCAGTTTGGCCTCCAAGGGATTTACTGTTGCTAAATAAGATGAGGAAAATACCGACCTTTATTCACGGGAAGAAATAACGCCTACGTCATGAATAAATAAATATCAAATTAGCATCCAAACCGAGGCTAGCAGCTCAAATCGTGAGGACATCGAATACCTGTTTTCCTTTTTTGTGTAAATGAATTCTCGCCGCAGGATCATAGAGCAGTGCGGGACTCGGTTTGGATGCCGATTTGACATTCGTCAGTTGCAACTTTAAGCGCCACTGATTACACAGCTTAAGTCTTGCCCAAGAAATGCATTGGTCCATCGCATCTTTAATTTGAATGTTTTAAAGCGTAAACTGAAGCGCCATAGCTACCAGTGATATTGCATTATGTACACAGTGTCATGGGGATGGCGTCCCTGGTCCCATATCTGCCATACTGTACGTGGAATCAATGCTCATAAAAGTAGTTCCATCTCGAGTTAAAAAGTGTCCCTTTTGGCGTCGTCCGCATCGGCAGAGGATCTTCTTGTAAGCTCGCTTGAAACTCTTGTTGGTGAAGGCATAGATGGCTGGGTTCAAAGCACTGTTAATGTATCCCAGCCATGTCAGTAAGGGAATGACAATGTGTGGCGATGAGATGCATGTTGGGCATAACGGACTGGCAACATTCACGACAAAAAACGGCAGCCAGCACACGACGAAAACACCAACCACGATGCCAAGTGTTTTGGCGGCTTTGTGTTCACGGTTCATTCGAGAAAGCAGCCTCCTCCCCATTATCTGGTTAGCGTGAGTCCGTGAATCGGTAGCTACCGAGTATCGCTTGTTACCTGAACCGTTGTATGACGCTCCTCCCCCGCGATGGATCCGCAGCGACACGGTGCCATTGGATTCCGGGTTATTCTTGCCCGTAGACACCAGCTTGGTTCCGGATCGAATGTGTCGCATCTGGGCAGCAGCAGCTCGATATATCCGGAAATACATAAATAGCATAATGATGGATGGTACGTAGAATGACACACATGAAGATAACACAAGATAGAAGGCATCAGATGGGAAAATACACACGTTATCCGGCATGGGTCCCTCCATAGCATGCCACCATGCGATACAAGGGAAAGAAATAAACGCAGAACAGCACCATACTAACACGATGAAGATCAATGCAACTTTTCTAGTCATTCGTCGTGGGTAACTCAGTGGGTGTGTTACTGCCCAAAACCGATCCAGTGAAATCACGCACAGGTTCAAGATTGAGGCAGTACATCCCAATATGTCCAGTGCATGCCATAGGTCACATATTGCCCGGCCTAAAAACCAGTAGCCGTTATTCAAGGTATCAATTATCGATATCGGCACGACGAGACCACCAATTAGCAGATCGGCAAATGCTAGAGAGACGATGAAATAATTGGTGACACTTCGACGAAGCGATCTGTCGCGATAAACAGCAAGAATCACTAATATGTTACCGAACACAATCAGTAACATACAGGTACACAACACGATGCCTAGCACAACTACATCGGCTGTACCAAGCGATGGGCTGGTCGGGCTGTCTGTACCGTTGACTTGCAAGTCCGTCTTATTCACATCCAACGTTAAGCTTGGTAAGGTGCCATAACCAACCTTACTGGCAATACTGGCAACATCCACAGCCATTTGTCTGCTTCAGATGCAACCTCAGTTTCTCGATAAAACACCTCTGTTTCACTCAACTCGTATTTAGTTTGCTTCCCCGCGCATTTTATCCACGATCAATGAAACATCGTATCAGTAGTCGCCTTTATCATCCGCTCATCTCACATTTCATTCATTCCTCCTTGCATCCTTGGCTCAAAATCGCCAGATAAGTAAATCCATGTTGCTCTTAACGGCTGGAGATGGCTGGAGTTTGTTATCGAGCGCGGGAAACTTGTTCGTACTCGCTGAGCGATCTGAGACGACTCTTTCCCTGAGCCAAACCGCCTGTGATGACTGGTCGTAGACGGGGCGTGTAATGAACGTAGCTGGCGCGTGTGTCAGACCTCGCTGACATGTCTATGGCACAATATGCAATGTATACGCAGTCACCGTCACTAGTTTACGCCTCAAGTACTAGCATTGCGTAGGCAGTCCGTATAGTTTCTCAGCACTTTGGAATTGTAGATGTGCACTTTCGTAGAAAGGGGACGTAGAAGGTATATGGTGAGTTGACTTGATGTCAATGTTTTATTAAGAAACAAAACTCAACTACCAATAATACTGAGTCGCCGTTTGTAATAAATTGATGAACATCAAGCATTGTTGTTGTACACTGGTCGAGCTCCATAAACAAGGTCACGTGACCGTAATCAGCCAATCCAGTTGCGATACGTTGTGATTCACACTCTGGCTTATGCGATCTTCTTGTGGCGTTATTATGTCACAAAATGGCCAGAGTTATTTTTCCGTATGTGCGAAAAGTCGAATCTCGTTTACCAAATGTTGTAGGCCTACCCTTCGTTGGATATATATCTTTTTATTTGAACCAGGGCAATAATTCGATTTACCAGAAGACATATATTCAATACGATCTGTTTGGGCCAGCAGTCCCACTGTGTACTGGTGGCGTCTTATAAGGTGAATCACCTCCAGAAAGTCTCATCCGTTCTTGAGGGGTTTCCACCCTTAATCCAATCCGCTCTAGATAAAAGATGTACTCTAAAGAATCCTTAGAAATGACTGCACTCTGATGACAGGGCTCCGTTTGGAAAACTGCTGGGCAGAAACCACTCCGACTAAATGAATTCAGTATTGTTAGGCTGCCACCTCGACTCTAGCTTGCCCTTTCTGTAAGGTGTTGAGGTCTTTGTGTTGTGCCGTCGAATCACCAGTCTCCTGGGCCTACACAGCAGGTATACCTGCTCACTTCGATCCCCAATGGGTAATTACAGAGGAGTTCAACCATACACAGTGGACGCTATACCACAGAACTCTATATGACATACAGTCTTCATCTTTTGCAAACTTTACAATACAATCGTGAGTCACGTATCACATGTAGGCGGTGATGCGATGGTTTGAAGACCGGTGATCAGGTAGACATATCTTTATTCGTGCGCAGTGGTAAAATTGGAAGGTGCATTGTTATCGCATGATGAAATATCAAATGCGAGACATCGATGCAAACAATCCATACACTGTTAATGGATCATTTTATACGGGCAGATTGATTATGTTCGTATACCATGAATGTTTGACGAGAGATGCAGACGCGTCCTTGCAGAAAAGTTTAACGTGAACGTTATACGTGTCAAGTTTTCTTTTCAAATGAGAATCCTTCCCTTGTTTGGCATTCGTATATATTCAGTCTTTACATTTTGGTGTGATATCCGTCTTCCGAATATTCATCCACTCGGTTCGTACATCCCCAAGACAGTGGAACCATACCCGCTGTTTCCTCGAATAATCCTCCAAAATCCTGCACATTGGGAGCGAAAATAAGCAACAAAAGCGTCTTAACAAAAGCAACCGGGACAATCAAGCAAATTATAGGCGGATCGAAGTTGGGGGTAATTGCAAGTCAAACACAAATGCTGGCAGAGCAGGGATCGATTTTTTTTTCTGGGCTGGGGTTTGCTGTGCACGCAATGGCAGTTATATAGCAATTATACAGACAGAGTGTGTGCTCAAGTAATATTGTGTGCATGTACAAGACTATGTATTGCCTGCATTTAATGTCAAAGTGTCGGGTATTATATTGTTATTATTCGATAACCAATTTCATGTTTCATTTTGTCGTGTCATATTGACACCGCAAACATGCTGTGGAGTGCTGTGGTCCAATGGTTACGGTGTTTGACTCGTGTGCCGTGGTACATGGGCTCGAACCCTGACAGAGAACATAATTTGTATGTTGTTGCCCTTCGGCAAGGCACTTTACTACAATTGCCTCCCCTCGCCCAGGAGTGTAAATGGGTACCTGCGAAGGTAGAGACCAAATTGCGCTAATCTCGAGCTGCTGCAGAAAAAAATGGTCTCATTCCTGATGAACAGGGACGGATGCGCATTTGATCATATTCTTATTCTTACGGAATTTACACAATATAAATGTATACAGTATGTAATTGATTATAACACTATCTTGCTGATCAGTGAGTAATTAACGTGTGTGACCCAAGCCTGCATTATCTTCGTGATCAGAAAACTAATAAAGATTCAAATGGGCGACCCGTGTGGTAAAGGTCGAAAGTATGGGATTTGAAAACGCATGCCTTATTTTGCTCATCGGTCAATTTGACATAAATGGGGGGAAATAGAAGATATTCCGCATTTTTTTAAGACCTACCTCCTTTGTTTTGCATGGCATGGTAAACAAAAATGTAATATGTCTAGAAATGTATTCCGGTGTTTGTCCTTAAGGTCACGATATCCTGAAATGTTTCTGTGATTCAAGGAATCCAGAGGAAATCATTACATCTAAACCGGCATTGTTTTAGATAAAAGAACATGCACATTTTGGTTGCCATTATTTCGCCATAATCGTTCTCATAATAATGGTTGGTAACGTAGTAACATACAAGCAGAAAATAAATCTTCTGTACACTATTCAAGGTTAACAAAACAAGTGAAATTGACATGTACATGCTAGGCTATGCAGGCACATACCCGCACCCATTAAAAAAACCCACTAATTCTAGTGTGTTAATGACACGCCCACGAAAGTCCTTGAAATCTCTATCCGTAATCACTACAATATCATCCATGTACAATATCAAGGCATGTACAATATCAAGTATTGACCGTTAAGGTTTCTTTACCGCGCTAGCGTCTGGAGATGAGAGCAAACTTGCTATCATATAGTTTGATCGATCCAAAATGTTTCCCGACCTGATTCATGTTATGTCGGTGGGGAAAACATGCCTGCGTGTAGCAGAGTTCCCAGTAGAAAATTGGTTTCTACGATCGAATAAGAATCAGTTGGTTCAGTAAGTTTAAACGTTTTGCAGATTTAAGTTGTTAAAATTACCCATCAGTGTGGTAACCAGCGAAATGTTAAATGCGACTATACCTGCTATACTTAGTGTATATAGCAAATCTAACCATGTAAAGCATTGCACAAAACACCGTATTCCGTATCAAGGACAACTTGCATTGGGCATATTCAAATGCCAAGATTACTATTAATATCACCTTCATTGTTTTATGAAATGAAAGTAAACTCACCACCGATGTTGTCGTTTTATGTAGTCGGTCCGAACGCCCGAAGCCCATCTATTGATAAGTCGCTGTACCGAGCTGTGCAACTCGTAATAATACAAACCAGCATCGATTTGCTGTTTGGTATAGCAGACTGAATTGTCACGTCTCTGCTCCTGGGATGTCCATGGCGTCTATGTGAGCGTAGTGAATGAATCAGCTATGGACCTATAAAGGGATTATACAACCAGCAATAACAAATGATGTCTAGATTGAGACTTAACAGTGTGTGTCGATCGATCACAGCAGAAATAGGCCTATTGAAGTAGTATTACGTGTATCTCACACCTGCCAAAGATCATGTTTTGATTAATTAAAAAAATTGGGGGCATCTTTCCACAAAATGCTGGAAGTATCATTGAATTGACCGAAATGTTTTTATTACAAAGCAAGATTAATATCTTCAACGGTTTCGAAGTTCTTATTTTTTTTTTTGCATCGATTGTCAATCATTCTTGTAACCTTTTGGTTGAAAACATGGAATACGAAGAAGCATCTATGTGTGTGCAAGATTACTGGAGAAAAGGTATACCAAATTGTTATTCAGGAGTCTATTTTCACTTCCGCCGAAGATTTAAATAAAAACTTTACGCGATCCAAAAACAGGAACATCTCTCCTAACATCCTGTAGATCTCATTTTGTTAATTATGTTTGCGTTATCATTAATAACAGTATAATTAATTGTACGGGGACTGATACATAAGGGGACATTCCCATAGGGGTGTGCACAAAATTGTTTCCAACTTAAATCACCCCTTACCCCAATTTCCCTCTCCTACTCCCACGAATACTGGTGTATTTACGTTTTTGACCAAGAGCAATCGATCTAGCCTATTTGCGTCAGTAACATTTTGCCTCTAAATAGGAGCTGTGACATTAGGGAGACATTGCAATGTCTCCTTAACGTCTGGTGTCTCCCTAAGGTATAACTTATGACGAAAAGTGTCTTCTTATAAGGGTACATTAACATGAATTATAATTTCTACACTATAATAAGACCTCACGAAGTCTCAAGATTCTGCGCATGTACGCTTGTTTCTCCATTTGTTTCCGTAAACCCCATTAGTTCTGTTTTCCAATTGGGTCTTTCTCGTCAGTTGGATCTTACTTAAGCCTGACAACTTTTTTTCCCCAAATTCTTCGCAAGAAACTCGTTGGATGAAATAACTCTACACTATTTTCAGGTGTTGGAGCGGTGGGCCTTTAGGAGATTGTCATATTATCATATATTCTGCTCAGTCTCTTCGCTGTGTTGTTTTTCTGCCTTCCAGGCAAATGCAAGTGTTTTCTTTCCCCCTACGTTCGCGAATAGTAACACTCTATTGAGTTGACGAAGCTTAATCCTATCTAAGAAGCTTGCATTGGCAAGTCCTTTGACTCTTGGGATTGCCTGTGTATTCTATCTCCTTAAGAAGAAAACAACCGGGTTTTTTTTCTCGAAACCTCGATTTATTTTCAGCTTCGGCTTCTTCACTGTCTTAAAAAATCATTTAGAAGTATTTCATACTCAAGCAAACTGGAAAGATTCTAAAACTGACCTTATACTAAAAATCAGAACATGGACTATGGAACATTGAGCCAGCGTCCTTAAAACAACTTGGGCCTAAAAATCTCCTGAAGCCGAGATCGGCGACGAAGTCGTGGTTTCAAATACATTTACATTGATTGTACAAAATTCTGGAGATGTTTGAGTTTTTTAAACAATATTTGTTTATCGTAATATCGCACAAAAATTTGTTTTTGTTGTCTTAAACACTATGACAGTCAGGGACGCGCGTTAGTAATACATATTAACGGAGGATGAAATCGATATAACTCCTTTTCGATTATCGGTTGCAGTCATCGATAAGTGAGTGATCAGTCAACACATGGTTTACAACTTGTAAAGCATTGGGTAGTCAAAGAGAGTCGTGGAATGCTAAGTGTCGGCGAACGAAACAACGAATGAATAAAAAAGAGATGTTAGGTATTCGTAGGATACCTAAATAATTATCCTCCCTCCCCTGACCATAGACCACGTCATCTATGACATCATGCCTTCCAATGTGTTTGGTTGACAGCAATGACAACAACATCTATCTCATAATCGAAAGTTGTTGGCGTCACCAACGCCAACAAACAACCGGTACCAAACACTGCTTGGTATTCATGCATCATTACCGGACCGGTGCATGCATTCTTGGCGCGGACGCTAAAACTCACTGAAAAGATACATTTCCATATAAATGCATTCCTCGTGGCGTTTAAGAGCCATTCCTGACGTTTATGACGTGGCTTGGCATACAAGACGTTTTTCCGAAATCGTATTCATGTACGTCATGTTGTGATGCATGGCCAGTCTACCATGTCATTGCTAGAGGCCATGCTTTGAGGAAGACATGAATTCTGAACCCCCATCAACCATTACGATTACTACACCCACTAGCAGCATGTATATCATGTTCCTCACGGGTTCCTGTTTTCCACAAGGGGACATTTAAGAACCATTACATATAAACCACGTATTTGTTTCTTAAAACCATGTACAATTTGCCCTGGCAACACTCTATACTGGAGCCCACGTCGCTAAATGACGTTATCGTCTTGTCCAATAATACATTAATATTTCAGCGGCAAACGCGTGAACGAATGATTATATTTTTGTCTGAAACGTGTGGCTAAACAATTTTCGACATTGATTACAGTCGGGTTGGCGATGGGAGGCCGGACACATGCCAGCTGCGCTCCTGTTTTCGTTTCTATTTGTTAGCCTCATAATGTCAACCCCGAACTAGCTGACGAACTACAGCCAAGAAATAAGTCATCAATTATTCATTCATTCATTTGTTTGTTATTATGGTCAGGCGACCCTTGTATAAATTTAGACTTTCTTAGTGCAGTATTTATTCAGCTTATACACGAATGCTACCGTTGGGACACAAAGTGTTGTTTTTTTAATTGTTTGAGCTTCTGGTTATTTGCAGTTTCAAAATGTAATGATGATTTTATCAATTTATTTTCTTTCCATCCATGGAAAAACCGCACCTCACATATTTTATACCAATTCACCCCCCCTTTTTTTCAATTCATTCAGTACTACTTTAAGAAAAACAAATCCCTTTTTTGATAACGCACAGAATTCGTATTAAACCTACCTCTGGATTTGTTTGAAAATATACTGTGAGTTCCGTTAATTCAAAGACCATGCATTTCTTGAATAATTTTTTTCTTCATCAAAAACAAGGGGGAAAGCACAAAATGTGTATTATACCATGGAATTTACAGGTAATTTATAAATGTATAAGTTTGCAATTTTGTAATATATTTTCGTATGTATAAATATCGACCTGTCTTATAGACAAACTTCTGCACAATTAATTTTTGTCATCATTAAGTTCGAACGAGTTCATCGAGATCATCGATGATACCTGTAAACTTCTTAATTGAGGTTATGTTGGAACTCGGGTAACATCAGTTTGTCTCAGCAACTTCGACTCACGACTGTTTGTAACCTGTAGAAGTAAGCATCCGATGGGAGGTGAAAAGGAGAACTTATCTCACAGCAAAAGGCTTAACAATTGCATGCCTCCAATTATGTGGAAAGATGACACGCCCTTTTCATTACACGAAGGTTAACCAAAATGTCAAAATGTTTGCGCTTAGTTGGCGATCTCCGGACTCCAAACGCAAACACAATCCGAAACTAGCAACTGTAGCAAATGAACTAATTACGTATAAAACCTGCATGTCAACAATGATGAGTCAACTGACAAATTGTAACATCAACGCAAATTAAAACCTGATTAATTTTCCATTTGGTTCCGGAAGTCGTGCAAACTGTCTCCGTTGAGGTAGGGCTAATTAATTAATTGTGAGGAGGCAATCACGTCAAATCAACAGAAAGCCGAGGGTCCGCAATAACTTAGGCTGTGATTTTAATCATCACGACTCGAGACACTCACGTTTAGCGTTTATGAACTTACCCCTTCCAATTTGCAACAAACGGCCGGTCGGTTGCCCCTCCCTCCCCCCCCCCCTCCCTCTTGAAAATTCAGTTCTCTATGATCCGCCCATATGCATGTACCCAGTAACTTGAAGTCAAGTTTGACTGTTTTGGAGTGTAAGTAATACTTCCTTGGAGGTCATCATGACCTTATGATCTCATAGATCATCACCCACTTGAGGTCACACCGTTTCCTGCTCATAACTTTTTAACGCGTCTCATGCTATGAGATCCCCCGTCGTGTTCCATTTATGCGTGCATTCCCGCCAAGCTACGGGATGGTCGACAGTGATTTCCGCGCGAGATGTTTTTAAAGGATCTTCCGTCGCCCGCATACCAAGCCATTAATTAATTTCGTCCCGTCAGCTTCTTCCGCTGAATAATACCACGGTAGTACATGTTGCCTCAATGTCACCCATATACCACCCAGGCCGCAGATTTCATCTGCACGTTCTAATTAAATTCCTTCATGTTGCGATCTCATTTTTTTCAGAAGCCTGCGGCGCCCTTTAGAGTATTAAATTCCCGAACATTGGTGCGCATTGGTTCAACTACTTGGACGATGTTACTTGATTACACCTCTCTGTACGAGAATTATTAAGAGAGTTAACTTCCCAAATCAACAGGGCTTCTCCTCTCAGTGTGAATGTCAAACAAGTGTTTTGCATGCAGAACACCAAACGATAGATAATCTATATTAAAATTAAGTGCTGAATTTTATTACAGTAAGTCTATACTAACCGTGTTACAACGGTACGTATGTGCCGTTTTCAAAATACAAATTATTCAATATTTTTGTAAACCTAACCGCGTGTAATTTGGTTATCAGGCCACGGGTGTGAATTTTTAATGTGACATTAATAATTCAATTTTGGCGTCACAATAAAACGGCACATTTCGCGTACGTGCACCAGATCCATACGATCTAAACAACTCACGTAGTTTAGTTGGTAAATAGAACAGCTGTGGACAAGCCCAGACATCTGCTAGTTAGCCAATATTTGCCAAGGTTACCCATACTATCAAACAAGACTAACACGCAAACCTAATGTTTAAATGCAAATATAGGAGTTTCAAATTACGACTTATTCCCCATTAATGCAGTATTCCATATCTGATTTGTTTAACCAGAATAAACTGATCCAGATTTGTGCAAAGTATTTACGTAAAAGGCAA